GTTGTGGTATAGAACCAATCTTGAAGGATTGAAGGTATGCATATTTCTGTCGTTATCGATATAACTATTGGTATAATTTTTACTTACATCTACATCTTTGACAATATATGAAAAACTAATTAAAATCATGAAAAAAGTAGTTTCTTCTATTCTTTTCAAATATTACAGTTCTCTGTAAAAAATTGGCATTCGACGATCAAGCTTGATGTAACTTCTGAAAATACAAACTTACCGAGTTGATACATAAATTCAAAATGATTTAAAGCACTAACAGATTTCTATCGATTAAGACAGATGTCTTTCATACAATCAAGCCATCATTGGTATGAGTCGTTATTGTCTTAGCATTATTATTGTACTCTCTACCAACAAGTAAAACATATTTATTTGTTAATAACAGTTTTGTGCGCCGATTATTGTGAGTACGGATGAGTGCGACTTGTATTTTCCAACATACTCACATCCTATCAATATAAAAATGCAAAGATATCTGCTCATGTATTAAAATGCTCACATCTGAACTAATATTAATAGAAGATGAATGCCAGAGATATAAAGCAGAAGTTACTCCACGCATAGTTATAGAATCTTTGTATCGATATCCAAAAAAGCAGATTCATAAAAAAAAATCATTTTCAAAAGCTAATGCAAGTCTTCAGTATTTTCCGCATTTTAAAAATGAATAAAAATTTTTTCCATCCTATTTTGATAAAATTATGCTTTTTTTGAGAATATAATCTTGGTGTCGGTGTGGCCGTATGTCTTTTTTTATCTACACTCACACTCTTCTTATATTGTCTTGTTCTTCATTTGTATTGCTCTTAGGCTTTTATTGTACTTCGTCTTAATTCCATGATACTTTTTTGGTACTTCTCTCGTACTTCAAAATACTTCAAAAGCAAATGAAATTTTTCTATTTTCCGCTTGACTCCGTTACATGCTGATATACTCTTTCAAGCAAAAAGAAAATAAATGTATGAAATGAAACTGAAACGAAGAATTAGTTGTGTCAAATGAGCTATTTTTTACCATTATTTGTCTCATATCATCCCGAAACGTTATGATATTGAGCTAAAAATTTTACTGTAGATTCTCAATTGCAATTGTCTAGCCATTCGAATGCATTTTTTCTCGAGAACACTTTCTAAATTTTGGTGTGGAAAGTGAAAAAAAGTCAGTAGAAATGCAAACACATCTTTAGACGTATAATTTTCAAAAACTTAATATAGGTTCAGTGGATTTTATTCTGAAGAGGATTTTATATAATTATGATTTCCAAAATGATGATCCAAATTTACATTCGTCAACAATTAAAAAAGCATGATAAGCATTTATTATTATTATGAAAGAACAGGTTTTCTTGTTTATTTTTTCAAAAGCATACAGTCCGTGGAGTTGCGAATTGTAGGAGTTATATTCTGTTTATTCTCTATTATTAATACGGTATTCATATCTTTCGGATACAAATACCATAAGGTCGAATATCTTTGTCACTTGGGCTAATCCAATATTCACCTATGTCAGCTTTATCAGCTGGTATGTTTATCACTGTTGTAGGATTGACACGATTTTGTAATACAGCTAAATATTGGTCATTATTATACGAAAATTCAACAGCATATTTTTCAGCGACTTTTATATCTGGTGTTGAATATACTCCATGTCCAAATCGAAATCTTTTACCTTTCGTTAAATCATAACCATCCATTGCTATTGTTTTAGCTTGATTCGAACCAGTCCCATGGTACGACACAGGCCATTCTCCAGGAGCATTTGTCTGTCCTAGCCATACCATATCATCAAACTTTTCGGATACTTTAATTGCAAAGCGCTTCCATCCACAAGGACGAGTATAATTCCTACCACCTCGAGTAAATTTCTTATTTTCATCATTTATATTTGTGAAATCATAATCAAAATGTGGATCTACACTTGACGGGTCTAGAATAGCCAAACTTTCACTTCCACCTCGTAAACGTAATATTAAATGTACGACGCATTTCTCGTACATTCTACAATCAGAGAGTTGTCTTCCATCTTCTAACTGTTTTCCAGCGAACATCAAACGCTGTTGATCGGGCGGAAAGTTTTCCTTCTCTTGTATCATATGTTTAAGATCATCTGTAGTTTTGTTTAAATCTATTAAACATGTAATAATCTTACCATCCCATGTTTTCACATATATTTCTTTTTCATTGCCTTTCATAGATTTTTCTACTAGTGTGGTCGTTATCGTTGGGGAAATAGGAATCAGAGAAGTATCACCGACGGGACCATACGAATATGTTTTATTGTGGTAGTCAAACAGAGAAATTTTGTACCCTTGAGTTTGAGGATCTGTATGTGATCGTACCTGGGTACCCATAATTTCTGAGATAGCGGCTAATAGTAAATCTTGATTGGAGTCTTGATTGGAGTCTTGATTGGAGTTTATATCTAACACTGAACCCATGGATAAGATAAATAATCAGTTTTCTAAAAAAAAGTAATATGTCTATATGGATTATAAAGTGTTATGTAAGACAAATTTATTAAAAATGATTTCAGGCTTTTTATTTTCAATTAGCTAAGCTGATATACTTTTCGAAAAGAAGATAAACTGACTTAAAAATTGCAAATCATTTGAAATATGAAAGAACCTCACTGTTTCCACTGGCTTCAAAAATCAAAGCAAAATTTATGACCGCCGTCAATTTCATGCCAAAAACATAGAAAAATAATATTTTAGATAATAGAAATATATATTCAAGAATGATTTTTCAAATGCATTAATTAAAAGCGAGAGTTTAATTAATCAAAGGTAGTGTATTGGTTTTTAAAGACTGGATGACGCAAATGAATTACAAAATAGTTCAAAAATTCTGTGTTCTATACATATATTTATAGAAATGTATGCATATAATTATAAGAAGTTTATTATTATCTGCCAGGGTCTATAGGATCTACTAGATTCTGATAAACCCTATACATCCCAAATATGTATTTAGAAGGGATGTAGATAATAAAGAAATTTTGAGTTATTTTGTAATTCATTTATGACATATATTCTATTCAGTAGGACTAATGTGTTATATACAGTCACAAAAAGCATATTTCAAGTCTTATAACTTGATCATGCAATAAAATGAGAATACTATATATTAAATTGGTTATTACATGTTAACGAAAAGAGAGAAGAAGCGATGTCGTAAAATGGTAGAAAAACAAACACAAGCAATCCATATATACAAGTAGTAATGTTGGATAATACCAAAATGAAACACATGTGAAGCAAACAGATCCTAGATGAGTCATGGCTTTGCTATCATATTCTGACATCATTTATGCACCTGATTTTAATTCCGAATTGATAATTTCAATGGGACAGATTAGATATAAAAAAATTTAACTTATAACTGAATCACATAGTTTTTTAATTAGAGAACGATTTGCTTATAGAGCCCTCTTTAGTTTTTCTCTTTATCATAGACATTTGTTTATGCTTAATTAATGAAATGAAAGCTACTCTTAATCAGTATATTATATCAATCTGCTTTTCCAGCTTTTGAGTATAGTATATGAAAATCTTTTGAATTTACTTGTAGGATTAAAGTAGGTACAGATGTCATTGATGACAATTGCATCTGCTATTTATTTGACGAGAAAGAAAGTGTATCCTAATCCTTCTGACAGTATACCAACGTGAGTCATAGGAAAAAGCCTAATAACGTCGAACGCTTTAATAAAAGTACACAGAATAACATAAGAATATCTCTGATAAAATAGTAATACATTCTATTTTTGTGTCGCTAGTATCCTCCATCAATAAGTGTAATTACTAGTTTTTACTACTATGACGAGCATCAGAATGCTTGTAAATCTTGAGAGACTATTTATGAATCAGAGTAAGATATCGATACAACTATCTACTGACAGTTATATTAAAAATTATTTGACAGAAGAACATCTTTGCCATATGACATTTGATGGCAGCATGATTGAAAGTGAATTGCGTATAGAAATGCAAGAAAGAATTTCAAAGAACATTGTCCTATCCTGCGATGTTCTTAAATAGAGGAAGTCAGAATATGTTCAGAGCATTTAAATGATGACTATAGGCTTGAAGGTGTGATTGTTTCTTTCAATGAACATGTATTGATGTGCATCTTTCTAAAAACAAAAAGAACACAAGAACTCTATTCATATATATATATATATAACGATTTGTCAGACTTTTGATGCATAACTATAAAAAGTAGGGTGTGGGTGTGGGTGTGGGTGTGGGTGTGGGGTGTGGGTGTGGGGGGGGGGTGTGGGTGTGGGTGTGGGTGTGGGGTGTGGGTGTGGGTGTGGGTGTGGGTGTGGGTGTGGGGTGTGAGTGTGGGGTGTGGGTGTGGGTGTGGGTG